CACTCTGGAAAACTGTATGGAGGTTCCTCAAAAAGTTGAAAATAGAGCTACCATATGATCCAGCAATTGCACTACTGGGTATTTACCCCAAAGATACAAATGTAGGGATCTGAAAGGGTACGTGCACCCGGATGTTTATAGCAGCAATGTCCACAATAGCCAAACTGTGGAAAGAGCCAAGATGTCCATCGACAGATGAATGGATAAAGAAGATGTGGTGTATATATATACAATGGAATATTATGCAGCCATCAAAAGGAATGAAATCTTGCCATTTGCAACAACATGGATGGAACTGGAGTGTATGATGCTGAGCAAAATAAGTTAATCAGAGAAAGACATGTGTCATATGATCTCACTGATATGAGGAATTCTTAATCTCAGGAAACAAACTGAGGGTTGCTGGAGTGGTGGGGGTGGGAAGGATGAGGTGGCTGGGTGATAGACACTGGGGAGGGTATGTGCTATGGTGAGTGCTGTGAACTGTGTAAGACTGATGAATCACAGGCTGTACCTCAAAACAAGTAATACATTATACATTAAAAAAAGAAGACAGTAGGAAGGGAAAAATGAAGGGGGTGAAATCAGAGGGGGAGACAAACCATGAAAGACTATGGACTCTGAAAAACAAACTGAGGGTTCTAGAGGGGAGGGGGGGTGGGGGGATGGGTTAGCCTGGTGATGGGTATTAAAGAGGGCATGTTCTGCATGGAGTACTTATATGCAAACAATGAATCATGGAACACTACATCAAAAACTAATGATGTAATATATGGTGATTAACATAACCTAATTAAAAATTTTTTTAAAAGACCTGCCCAAAAAATATTTCCATTCAAAATTAAGTTGCCGTTGGGAAGATATAGTTTTATTTTTATTATGAATGGATTTTACCTAAATATAGTAAGACTGAATGGATGTCATTGAGATTTTTTTCAGTGCTTAAAAGGGAAGTAAATCCTAGTTCCGGTATAGGATGCAGCTCTCCTCTCCAACAGGTTTCTGAAATCAGCATGAAGTCAGTCTCTTTTCCCCTTCCCTCCCCCTTCCACGGCCCAGTTCTAGGCACTGAGGACACAGCAGGAAACATGACAGACTGAAATCTGGCACTCATGGAGCTCACATCCTGGTCTAAGAGAAGCAAGTAGCTATGAACAAAATGAAACAGGATGCCGTGGGGACAAGGACGGCTCCCATGGGGGACGGTCAGAGATGGCACTCTGAGATGGTGGGGTAAGCTGAGAAGACAGACCCAGCCGAAGACCCCAGAGGGAACAAGAGTCATGGGGGGCTGTGTCCCTGCAAACATCAAGGCCACGGAAGGAGCAAATACTGAGCTTGTGCCAATTGTGTTCTGTTCACCAAGTGCTACAGAAAATGCAAGGCAGAAGTGACTAAGATGCAGAGCTGTCCTGGCAGGACCTCTACCACATTGCAGGAGAAAACAGTCGTGGCCATTCATCAAGGAAGCACCTTGCACCAGGCTATGTTCTAAGTCTTTGCATGAATTTACTCTCTGGTCCTCAGGGATAGGAGCTACCTTTCTCTCTCTCTTTTTTTTTTGAAGATTTTATTTATATATTTATTTTGTGAGAGAGAAAGAAGGAGAGACAGAGTGCGAGCAGGGTGGGGACAGAGGGAGAAGCAGACTTCCCACTGAGCAGGGAGCCCGATGCAGGACTCAATCCCAGGACCCAGGGATCATGACCTGAGCCGAAGGCAGACGCTTAACCGACTGAGGCACCCAGGTGCCTGGGGCTAATATTCTTATTGCATAAGGGAGAATATTTCGATCCAGCTCCTAAGTCCACAGTCCTAACCGGGACACTCCAGGACAAGTACACAGAAGACTACTAGAGGGCGAAATGTGGTCGTGGCCTTGAGGAACAGAGAAGAGGTAGGTAGGAGATCAAAGGATTCGGTGTGGCAGAGCTGGGCCACAGGTGATACCACCTGCTCGCCGCTGTCTGGGACACTCCTGCCTGGAGCCTAAAGCGGGCCACTCAGTGGGGTAGACATCGCCCTGCACTGAGGCAGCCATGCTGTGAGGAAGCCCGGCTATGCAGAGGCCACATGTGGTGATGCAGGTGCAGACACCAAACACATGAGTGAAGAAACCCTCCAGTGACTCCCCAGTCTTCCAGCAGAAGCTCTGCACTTTGTGCCTTTTCCAGATTCTTGGCCCACTCAATGACAAATAACAATAGTAAATAGGCGCTGCTATGTGGGGGTGGTCAGTTCTGCAACAGTAATTGAAAACTAAGGGTGTGCCAAACATTTACTCTAAAAAGTAAAAATATTAATGCCTCTGAAGCGCTACAGTAATTTCAAAGAGTGGGACGATAGAAACTGCCCCAGTTTCCCCTGAAGATCTGGCTCAAGGGCATGACTTTTTCGAAAGCCACCAGAGAGCCAGAACTACAAAGCTGCCCCCTCTCCCATTCCTTCTCACCCCAGTGCCCTCTGCTATGCCACATTGCCTGCAAATAAAAGCCCTATAAACATGAAACAAATGTACCGTGAACGCTGACGGAACATGGAGAATGCACCATGGAAAGGTATGTATGGACCATAAAATCTCAGCTCACCTGAGTGACACATTTAGCTGATCTCATATAATATGCTAACTATGACAAATGTAAAGCATTTAATTAACCACAGTTTCGCTTGCCTTCACATTTCAAAGGCTTTGCAGGACATGCACTAGGTTACTTGCATCTCTTTAAAAAGTTGTTGGAGATCGCTTCTCGGCCTTTTGGCTAAGATCAAGTGTAGTATCTGTTCTTATCAGTTTAAAAAGTTGTTGGAGAAAAGTGTGAGCTAATGCCTTCTTTATCTGTTAGGGACTTCCCTGTAACAAAAAGAAGCTCACAGAGAGTGGGGTCTCCTAGTTATACTTTTGATGTCAATCTCTTTGCCTTTCTCTTCCCTCTCCTTTTTCTACTATTTTCAGAGAAGTCTTGAAACAAATAAGGAAATAAGCAAACACACGTATACACATGCATGTATATATATGTGTGTGTGCATGTGTACTGATACAAAGAGAGGTTTGCAAAGGTCAGGATTGCTCCCCATCATGAGACTGTCCTGATTCCTGGGCCTCTTGGAGCTCAGCTAATGAAACCAACCAATGAGCAGGGAAAGGGGCTGAGAATTACAATGGTCTATGTGTCTGGATAAGCCGGCAGAGGGATGGCAGCAAAAACCTTGGGGTTGCCAAAATAGCAAGAGTCTCTGCTTCATGTCTCTGGAACTGCAGACGCTCTGAGGGATCAGGGCTCTGGACTACACTACCCCTCAGAGAGCTGGGAGATCCCATCCTAAGTACAGTTTACGCACCCAAGTTCAATGATTTGCATTGGTCAAAATTTTTAAAAAGTAGGACCCAGAAAAAATACCATGTCATAAGGGCAGTCATTGTCATCAAAATCTCTACCCAGCAAACTCATACCCCCAGAAAAGCCTGAGACACAAATTTTGTGGTTCCCTGGATCAGACACAGCAGTTCTGTGCTTTCGGTAGCGAGGTTGTTTTGCTGAGCTCTAATTGCAAAGCTGTAATTCCAGTGTTTGCAGATATGTGATTTGGGAGCAACCGGACACAGAGCCGGCCAGGGACGCCCTCCGCTGCTCAGGCTGTGTGGTGCGCTCCCCAGTGTGGAGCTTGGTACAGAGAGTCAAGCATGGGAGCCCTTGAGCAGAAGGGACTTTGTGAGAGGTGTGGAGCATTTGTCCCACACGTGGACTCCGTGCCTAACCTCCAGCTCTTAGTCTTCCTCAGACCCTCACACTTCCAGCAATGCAGCTCAAAAACCTCTCAGCCTAAATCCATCTTAGTGAGAGCAAATGCACCCCCAAATGGCTGGACTTACACTTCATGATATGACAGGAGGCCGTGGGGTTTGTTCCCGTGTTTTCTGGCATATCCCTCTCTCTCAGAAATCATGATTACTAAAGAGTTCTCAGCAAAGGGGCCTGACATCTTTAATTCAATCTCCAAGACATTAGATTTAATAAGACAGAGAACAGGGGATGGGTCTGGAGGAAATGAAGAGAGTAGTAGAATTCAGAAAATATCAGAGAATCCATACCCACATGGGAGGATTCTTGGCCAAGACAAAACATGGGAAGACTTTCAGGCAGTGTAGGGTGGGCATTGCGGTATTAGGCCCTTAAAGAACACCTTTTCAGTAATCCATTGCATTTAACAAAATACAGTCTTCTCTGAAGCAAAACAAAGCTCTGGGCAACCAATCAATGAATTAAAGTCTTACTAATAGGCACTCACCAAGGGAACAACACTATTTTCAAATGAGACCCAATCATTAGCTCATACCAAAAATTCTGCAGGGGCTTGCTTAAAGTAAAACTTATACACAGATATTCATAGCAGCATTACTCATCATAGCCCCAAAGTAGACAACCCAAACGTCCATCAACAGATGGATGGATACAGAAATGTGGTATATCCATAGGATGGAATATTATTCTACTATAAAAAAGAGTGAAGTGTTGATACCTGCTACAGCATGCATGAATCTTGAAAACATGCTAAGTGAAATAAGCCAGTCACAAAAGGCAAGGAAAAGGTTAAGGTCTAGGCAGGGAGAGGTAAGGGGCCCCCAGCTGGGCTCTGAGACTATTCCTGGCAGGCAGAAGCTAAGACAGAGTGAACAAGAGATAAGGAAACAGACCACCTGGCCTCGGAAGGAATGTCCAGAGTACTTTTTTCTGGTGCCTACAGTGTATCACAGAAAATGACCGAACCTCAAAGACCTGAGTCATTAAGGGGTTATCAGAAGTCCGCACTCAAACCAAGATGGCACAAGAAACTCAAGGCCACAAGCTTCCCAATCAGTTCTGAATAAAAGACTGCCACTAGAAGCCCTCAGTGGCAACCCATTCGGGTCCCCTCTCATTCTAGAGAGCTGCTTCTTTCCTTTCTGCTTTCACCTCCACTTAATAAACTTTCACTTCATTTCACCCTTTTGTGTCCGGGAGATTCATCCTTCGACTCCGTGAGACAAGAACCCTGCGATCCTATAACAGTATGATTCCATGTATATGAAATGTCCAGAAGAAGCAGATCCATATCCATCCAGAGAGTGATGCTTAATGGATACGGAGTTTGTTTTCTGGTGAAAATGCTCCAAATTTAGATAGTGGTGATGTTTGCAGAATATTGTAAATGTACTAAAAGCCACGAGATGGTACACTTGAAAACAGTTAACATGGTGAATTTTGTGTTGTATGAATTTTGCCTTAATTTTTTAAAAACTCTATTTGGTTAATTTTTTTAAAAGTTCTGCAGGGCCAGCATCTGGCCAGGGCTCCTTCGTCCAAACAAGACCGCTGAGGTTAGGGAAGTGAACTTACTGCCTCTGCACAGGTGGGAGGGAAAAGGTGTCGAATCGACTCTGGAAGCCAGTGGGATCCAGTGGGAATTCATATATAAATCTTTAGCTTGCTTTTTTTTTTTTTTTTTAAAGTGAGTTAGTATTTATTGTTCCAGGTGATTTATATCTATCATCTATTAAACCCCAATCAACAACTCTGCAAAGAATATATTATTCTATTTTATAAATAAGGTAGCCAGGAATCAAAGGGACTAAGACACTTACCAAATAATTCTATCCATAAAGTCACCTGTCTCCATTATCTAGCTTGCTTTTTAAATATGTCACAGTAAGGATCTTAAATCCAAGGATACAGGAGAATCCTTCCAGGGACGGAGAGGACACGAGATGGGCTAATGCTTTGCTTGTTCTTCATTTTTAATCAACTTCAATCACTGTTGGCGAGCTCTGGGTGGCAGGACCCAACACTGTCCCATGGCCCTTGTTCTTGAGGCTTCTGTAAGGAAAAAGAGAAAGCAAATTCCATTCAATCGCCATAACATGTCCCTGCAAGAACATAAAAATAAGTGATTGCTTATTTTCAACACCTGAACTATCTCCTGCTGCAGCAACTCAGGAAATCTGATAAGATGATAATGGAAAATGTGTCATGCATGAATATCCATTTTAAAAACACACTTCTCTCACACTTTACGTAAAGGTCGAAATTAATGTTATGTTGAAAACATTTTTCAAAGTACAATTATCTTGATTCGTGAAGCGAACCAAATTCCTATTAGGTTTACAGTCTTGGGTTTAAGCTGCACACATTTCACCAGAAGGGCGTCACTGATCAAATTGAAAGCTGAATTAAAGCAATGTTATAAGGACCTTATATCCCTCCAGCTGGCTGTCTTTATCCAGGCTCATCTGTCACATCTCATCCTCCTGGGAGAAACCAGAGCACCTTCTCCCGGGGCATCCCACAGTCACATCTCCTTATGCTCTTGACCTCCCAGGCACAGACGTGTGCCTTCCCTGCGGGGTGGCATCTGCATCCAGGGCACCCATGGCATCGCTGGTTCACAGCACAGCCACGGACAGCGCTCCGGGCTGCGAAGACTGTCTCCCAGAGGTGGACAAGAAGCCATCTCGTGGTGCATCCCCCTGCCCAGCAGCAACTCTGGTGGTGGCTGTAAGGTAGACAGCTCCATGCGCAAGGGACCCAGTGTGGTAGATACCTTTGCTGTGTAACAAACGCCGCAGGCTTGGCAGCCTTGCACAGTTCCCATTTATTATCGTACACTTCTGAAGCTCAGAAGTCTTGGAGGGTGTGACTGGGCTCTCACAGACCGAAATCAAGTGTCAGCCATACTGTGCTTTATCTGGAGGGCCTGGGGAAGGCCTGCTTCTAGGGTCAGTCTGGTTGTTGGCAGAATTCAGTTCCTTGCTGTTGTAGGACTGACAACCCCCGTTTCCTGGACAGCCATCAGTTAGAGACTGTGCTGAGCTCCTGGAGGGTGCTCTCAGTCCCTACCCATGACCCCTGTATGTGAAGGCTGGGAACGAGAGCCTTCCTAGAGTCAATCCCCCCCCACCTTTACATCTCTCAGACTTCCACCATCAGCAAGAGACTGTTCTCTGCTTAGGCCCACCTGGATCACCTCTTAATTTTAATGTCAAAGGATTAGTAACCCTAATCACATCTGCATATGTATGTCATCTAAAGCACCATCATTCAGGACTAATATCTGCCATAGTCACAGTCTTGGAATTAGGGTGGGAAATTTGGTTTGGGGACATCTTTGAATCTGCATCCCCCAACCCAGGGAATAAGCAACATTTACTGGAAGCTCAAAAGTCAAAAAATGAAGCACATCACTTTTCCAGCATTCCCCAACACACAATTTCTGGACCTTCTGATTGCAGTAATAATAATAATCATGACAGCTAGTCCCTAATGCCAGGCTCTCTGCTCAGCACCTGACAAACTGATCTCACTTCAGACTCACTATCTTTCATGAAGCTGACTCTGTTACTGATCCCATTCTGCAGAGAAGAAAACTGAGGCTCAGAGAGGTTAGGCAACGTGCCCCAGGGAGCAGAGCCAGTACATGAAACCCGCTGGGAAGAGGTGGGGTCAGAACCGGCAATTCATGCTCCTAACTCAGGAACTGAGCAGGCATGGTTAGTTTCACCTCTCTGTGGGCCCCCCCAAGTGCCTGGGTGCCTTTCCCAGGCTCCTGACCCCAAGCTGCAACCCTCCATCGCCCCATCTGTGCACAGCCCAGCCTCACCTTAGTACTCTATCCGTGTCCTCCTCCGGGTGGAGGGGGGTGTCTGCAGCCCACTGGCCTATTAGTAAATATCACAGGGTGGTTTTTGTTTTTGTTTTTGTTTTTAATGTTTATCATTTGCAGTTGACTTGTTCCACTAAGGATTTGATAGAGCTCACTAGCACACAAAAATGGGAAAAATGTAAATAAATGTTCTCAAACTCTAGATTAGCATAGAAAATCAAGTCTAAGGGAAGGTTAGAAGTCCATGCTCTACTGTCTAACCCAGTTCCTAAACTTGAACATAAATTTTACTCTCAGCTCCCGGCTGAACAAAGCAAAAAGAGAAACACAATCAGTTACACAGTTAACTCTGTGCAGAAGTAGAGCCGGCTCCTTAGAAAAATCAACTCTTCTCCCAACTCACACAGCCAGAAGCCAGAGAAAAATTTGTCTTGTGAGCCCTGATTGCTGTGATAAAACCCCCTCAGCGCCCCTGCAGCACAGGCGGACTCGGGGTGTCTCCGTTATTTCCTGCCCCGCCCCACCCTCAGTGTGAGTACAGCCAGCACCAAACACAGATCAGGGAATAGGGACCTGCAGGAGTCTAGGAACTGCACACTCAACCAACACACTCCCAGGAGTGGAGGCTCTGTGTCCCGCAAACACCTTCCAGAGACCCTTTCTCTCACCCACAGTGGATGACTGACAGTCCAGGCTCTCACCTCCAAGGATCTTGCAGACAGGTATTCTCTATAGCCCTCCCCTAAAATTTTTATTTTTTTATTTTTTTAAGATTTATTTATTTATTTGGGGGGTGCACAGGGAGATGGAGAGAATCTTAAGCAGACTTTCCGTTGAGCACGATGTAGGGCTCAATCTCACGATCCTGAGATCAGACCTGAGCCAAAACCAAGAGTCAGGCACTTAACCAACTGTGCCACCCAGGCACCCCCTCACCCCTAAACTTTCTAAATGAGCATGGTTCGATAGACAGACTATTATGAAAATTGACAAGACTACCCAAAGCCCTTACCAGGCCAACCACCCTTAACCGAGGTGGGACCTTTACCAGACCCTCAACCCCAGGTTCTTGAACCTCAATGTCATAGAAATGAACACTGAGCTGGAGAGAAGGAAAGCAGGTGGAGTTTGAGGTAGCTTGCACACAGGGAAGCCAACAAGAAAGGACTGTCTCTCTCAGGGTGTAGTGTGCAGGCTTATAAAGACACTTCTCCCAAGGAGGAGGGGCTGGGAGTAGGGAAGCATCCTTCAGTCCTACCGTTGTTATCTTGTGGCTGTCACTTGCTAGTGGACACAGACATCACAGGATGCCTTTCTTCTTTTTAGGGCTCCTGGAAAACAGAAATATTTGTACAAGGAGGCTTTAAATTGTTACTTCTAATTTTCCCCAGACAACCAGTACTCCCTGACGGCTGTTACCTCTCATTTGTTCTTGTTCCCGGAAGGAGACACTTGTCCCCAAGCATACGGAAACTTTTAACCCCTGCCTCAGACCAGTGGCTTTATAGCAGTTAAGCTCCTCTCGCTTTCCCTAGACTGTCTCAGGACAAGGAAGAACATACAGATGGGACCAGGTTTACACACACGCATACACACACATACATGCACACAGTCATACACACAAAAATATACACATATGTGCACACATTCACAGAGTACACACACAATTGTGATTTCAGCATAGGAACGCTCATGTTTATGATTTCTCCACTTCCTAACAGCCAAAAATATTTTAGCCCAGAAATTTTCCAAAGCAAAACAGGTAGTCCTGAATACAGGTATAGAAGAGTCTCAGGAATGAAGCCACATAAATCTCTAGTTTTGACCCAAATAGCTGCTTATGAAGCCAGCAGAAGTTGCTGGAAAAATCTGAAGCTCTCAATAAAATTCCAGGGAGCCCCAAAATCCTGAACAGTCCAAGTGAATTTAGGAGGAAAAGTTCATTATGTGGGAAAGACAGGAGCAGTTAGGATGGCCACAGGGCCCTGTTCAAGGCCTCACTCCGCATTCCTGCTTCTCCTGCTGCTCCCCAACTCCTTCTGTCTGTGGGGTTAGCCAAAGCTGGTCAAGGGAGTGCCTTCATGGCCTCCCCCAAAGTGCCGTGTCATGTCCATCCACAAAGATGACGTTCCCTGCACCTTGGAAACCAGTGGGCATCGTGCTCCACCTGCCTCGGGACAGTCGCTCAACTTGAATGCTCCCCATTGATTCACCTGAACGTTCCCCATCATTAAAGACATTTAATTTGCTTTCACAGTAAAGGATCCATCCCATTCTATAAACTTATAACACTTTTCGGCTGCATCTTGAGCGCGATGTAGGGCTCGATCTCACGATCCTCAGAACTTGTAGGAGATGCCCTGTGTGGTAAAGACAATAATCATCTGTACTTTACCCATAGGGAAACTGAGCCACAAAGCTGTTACTAGCTTGCCCACCATCACACAGCTAGAAATGCTACAGTGACTATTTCGAGGAATGGGTAAAATGTACACTATGGAATGGCTTTTGAGAGCCCTCACTTCCAACCCCAGATTCCACAGACATGTTCTAAGAGGATTCACAGTCTTCTGGAACCATCCTTTGAAACCATCCTTGTGTCCAAGAAACCACCTCTTAACCCCACAGCCCATCGGAGTCTTTTCCATATTCGGACATTTTCCTGCCTGCACCCTCCCCTGGGGCCAGCACAGGAAGTCTGTGCTTCTCTCTCAATTACCTGTACACCCCCCACACCTCCCAGCCAGGTGCTAAGCCTTGTGAAGGGGCAAGGTCCCAGTGCAGGGAACTGAGATGGGGTGCAGTAGAGGGGATGGGGTCTGGATATGCTGACAAGCCCCTGTGGAAGGCAGAATTCTGAGGTGGCTTCCAGGGACCCCTCCCTCACGCTTATGATGAGATACCACCCCTGTGATGATGTTAGTTTCAATGACAAAAGGGAGAATATCCACGTGGGCCTGACCCAGTCACATGAACGCTTTCAAAGCAGACAATTTTCTCCAGCTGGTGGAAGAAACAGAAGTCCAAGCATTAAACATCCACATGCTTTTACAAACCGTGACAATGGAGCGTTGCGGATGGTGTTCAGGAGCTGAGGACACCCCCTGCTGACAGCCAGCAAATAAAATGGGGACCTGAGTTGCCAGGAACTGAGTTCTGCCAACCTGCTTAAAGGAGCCCAGGAGCAGATTCTTTCTGCAGAACCCCCGCCCAGCTGACACTCAATTTCAGCCTCATGAGACCTGGGTGGGGGAACCCCACTAAACCCAGATTCTGACCCACAGTGACAGGCTGTTGCTTCAGGTGCTAGGCTTGTGGTCATCTGTTATGCAGCATGGGCAACTGAGGAGTTGCAGCTGGCCCTGGGCAGTGAGGCACCCCAGAGGTGACAGGACAGAGGCTCAGCCTGAGAGGGGACCTTCTGGGAATGCTGGCTGGCCATGGGCTGCAGCATGGTTTTGGGGGTGGGGGGGTTGGCTAGAGCCTGTGGTTCAGAAAAGAAGCTCTTAAAACAGACCACAGGGTGTCTGATCTCCGACCTCACCCCTGCATGAAGCGGACCTCCCTAAGCCTCAACTCCTATATCAGCGTATTGGGAGTAAGAACATGCCCACCCTGTGGGACCCTTGTCAGGATTAAAGGATTCATGTGCAGCCCTGGACAGAGCCTGACACACAGCACCAACGGCTTGCCGTTGTGACAACGGCAGGACTGAACGGTAGGACTGAAGAGACACCACCGTGCCCCCTAAAGTTGTCCACGTCCTAACCCCCAGAACCTGTGACTCTGTAGCCTTACATGATGGCAAGAGGACTTCGCAGGCATTAACCTTAAAAATGAAACGGCCAGTTATTTTACCAGCAAAAAGTGGGTTTACTCAAGAATAGCAGAGAACAGCAATCCAGGACAAGCAAGAAAAACCACAGGCGAGTCCGACAAACAAAACACAGGAACATTATTTTATGGAGAAGGAGGAGGAAGCTGGGAGGGGTTATTTGAACCAAAGTCCCTGGGAGAAAAGCAGGAGCTCTGGGTGATGAGGGCTTCTCATTGGCTGAGTGGTAGGAGTGGTCAACAACTTGTAGGAGATGCCATGTCCATCTGACCCCATTGGGGCCTGTCATTGATGAGTCTTTCCTGTTGAGATTCTTCTGTTGGGGCCTATGACTGACAATTTTTCCCATAAAATTTCCTATAAAATTGACACTTTTTCTTCAGTGGCACAGCTCACCATACCAGTCCCCTTTGTAGCATCCCAAGTCCACTCTAGCGAGGTTTCCCTTCATGGACTTTGACACAGGTGGGGTTAAATTAAGGATTTGAGGATGAGGAGATTGTCCTGGGTTCTATGGGTGGGCTCAATGTAACCACAAGGGTCTTTATACTTTAAAGGGAGGTGGGAGGGTCAGAGTGAGAGGAGCTACGACCATGGAGGCAGAGAAGAGAGCGAGGAAGGTAGCTTCCTCCTGGCTGTGACGGTGGGGAGGGGTCCATGAGCCAAGCAACGCAGGCGGCCTTCAAAAGCTGGGAAAGACAACAAAGCAGATCCTTCTCTATAGCCTCCAGAAGGAGTCAGCCTTGATTTTAGCCCCCTGAGACTGATTGTGAACTTCTGACCTCCAGAATTATAAGATGATAAATTTGCATTGTTTTATTTATTTATTTTTTATTCTTATGTTAATCTCCATACATTACATCATTAGTTATAGATGAAGTGTTCCATGATTCATTGTTTGTGCATAACACCCAGTGCTCCATGCAGAATGTGCCCTCCTCAACACCCACCACCAGGCTAACCCATCCTCCCACCCCCCTCCCCTCTAGAACCCTGTTTGTTTTTCAGAGTCCATCGTCTCTCATGGTTCGTCTACCCCTCCGAGTTCCCCTGCTTCATTCTTCCCCTCCCGCTACCTTCTTCTTTTTTTTTTTCTTAACATATATTGCATTATTTGTTTCAGAGGTACAGATCTGAGATTCAACAGTCTTGCACAATTCACAGCGCTTACCAGAGCACATACCCTCCCCAGTGTCTATCACCCAGTCACCCCATCCCTCCCACCCCACACCTTACTCCAGCAACCCTCAGTTTGTTTCCTACGATTAAGAATTCCTCATATCAGTGAGGTCGTATGATACATGTCTTTCTCTGTTTGACTTATTTCGCTCAACATAATACCCTCCAGTTCCATCCACGTCGTTGCAAATGGCAAGATCTCCTTCCTTTTGATGGCTGCATAATATTCCATTGTATATACATACCACCTCTTCTTTATCCATTCATCTGTCGATGGACATCTTGGCTCTTTCCACAGTTTGGCTATTGTGGACATTGCTGCTATAAACATCGGGGTGCACGTACCCCTTCGGATCCCTACTTTTGTATCTTTGGGGTAAATACCCAGTAGTGCAATTGCTGGATCATATGGTAGCTCTATTTTCAACTTTTTGAGGAACCTCCATACAGTCTTCCAGAGTGGCTGCACCAGCTTGCATTCCCACCAACAGTGTAGGAGGGTTCCCCTTTCTCCGCATCCCCGCCAACATCTGTCGTTTCCTGACTTGTTAATTTTAGCCATTCTGACTGGTGTGAGGTGGTATCTCGTTGAGGTTTTGATTTGGATTTCCCTGATGCCGAGCGATATTGAGCACTTTTTCATGTGTCTGTTGGCCATTTGGATGTCTTCTTTGGAAAAATGTCTGTTCATGACTTCTGCCCATTTCTTGATTGGATTCTTTGTTCTTTGGGTGTTGAATTTGATGAGTTCTTTATAGATTTTGGATACTAGCCCTTTATCTGATATGTCATTTGCAAATATCTTCTCCCATTCTGTCGGTTGTCTTTTGGTTTTGTGGACTGTTTCCTTTGCTTTGCAAAAGCTTTTTATCTTGATGAAGTCCCAATAGTTCATTTTTGCCCTTGCTTCCCTTGCCTTTGGCGATGTTTCTAGGAAGAAGTTGCTTCGGCTGAGGTCAAAGAGGTTGCTGCCTGTGTTCTCCTTTAGGATGTTGATGCACTCCTGTCTCACATTGAGGTCTTTCAACCATTTGGAGTCTATTTTTGTGTGTGGTGTAAGGAAATGGTCCAGTTTCATTCTTCTGCATGTGGCTATCCAATTTTCCCAACACCATTTGTTGAAGAGACTGTCTTTGTTCCATTGGACATTCTTTCCTGCTTTGTCAAAGATGAGTTGACCATAGAGTTGAGGGTCCATTTCTGGGCTCTCTATTCTGTTCCATTGATCTATGTGTCTCTTTTTGTGCCAGTACCATGCTGTCTTGATGATGACAGCTTTGTAATAGAGCCGGAAGTCCGGAATTGTGATGCCGCCGG